CTGTTGATGATGATGATGCTATGCGTCTGCCGTGCCATGCTAAAATGAACTGATCAGGGGAGATTTTAATAGGCTAGATATCAATTAGCCTATCTCGTTTGGACCGTCAAAGTGTCGTCAGTTTCCGATCGATGTACAAAGCTGGACGCAGCATGTACATGTAACCATTAGACTCGACTTTCTCCATAGGGATACTGTCACGGTTTTGAACACACGCCCTGATAGTGAGCATATTGTCAAACGCATTTTTGCGCTAATGACAACATGCCGAGGTGAACAGATGCTTCATAGATACTTCAACCGTAAAAACTGGGACGGGTTCGTTGAACTCATAAGGTCCATGCTACTGGGCAGATTTTTTCACTCGAGTGACAGTTGTATAGCTCGCGAATAATTTGAATCGATTGCTAACAGGTGTATTGATCTCCTCAGCCCGTTTCCGAACACTCAAAGCGGCTCCCGAATAATAGTGATGAAGAGGACCACATCGAAATTACACCAACTTAGAAAACTATGACAGAGAACTCAGGGTTTCTCAATAGAATTGCGAAAGCCATTCATCTAAGAAGCACTATGTTGCAAAATGGAAGCTACCCTGAGAGGCCAAGAGGTGTCAGCATTTAACAGTGTCAACACAATTAAGGCATTAGCAGAATTGTAGAAGATAAATTAAACCAGACAAAGCAGTTATTCTTTGACTATGAGTGAGAAACAAGCAATCCGTGAGGACTTTACTTACTTCTCGAAACCCGGAACACATTATTCGTTGGCTAGTCCACGAAATGTCGGCCGGTGGCCGAGTGGTCTGCACGTTTGCTTTGCAACCATAAGGTCACCGGTTCGAATCCGCGTAGGGGTGGGCGTCCTCGCGGTATACTCAGCCCGCGCGCGACGTGGTGGTTGCGCGGCAGCGAAGCGCCGTTACGGCGTACAGCTGACACAATACAATACTAGTCCACGAAATCCCTCAACTAAGGCAGCTTCTACTCTTTCTTATGTGCAGTTCAAAACAGATAAAATTCTGCGCCATTTTGCCAGGATCAAGCTGTTCACAATCTGTGGCCTGGATGGCCTCCCAGCGAAATCAATTAATTGTTGTGGTGCTGATATCCCGTTTTCCCCCCTTTGAACTTGTTTACCTTGTCAATATCTTCAAGTACTTTTCCAACTCTCTAGAACAAGTCTACCATTACACACATAGACAAAGGTGGTCCAACGTACAATATTACTACCACCCCGTCAAAAATATTCCAGTGATTTCTAGGAGTGTGCATAGTTAATGAGGCAATACATCGTTTTCTGCTATCCAATAACCAGATTAACATTACACAAAGGTGTTTAAGTGCTCGTTCTTGCACGTGTCATTTGGAGCACTTGCACTATAGTACATGAGCTGTTGGCTCTGGAACTTCCATCGTAAGCATTCTTCCGGATAGGTAGAGAACGTAAGGCCGCATGCTTCATCATTGGTTGTTTCTTGAAATACACTCGCTCCCCAGCACAGATCAAATACTTTCCCAGTTCCCGTATTAGTTGTCTTGTCGAACACAATTTGTCCTTTTCATGCGTACATTTCTCCTCCCACAACATGATACTAGCGATGTTGTATAACTATTACGCCGTGTATACGTGAACCAAGTACTCGATGTGGTTGCACATAATCGTGCTTTTCTTTTTGAAGACGACGTTACGGTAGCCCACACCTAAATGCCATTCGGGCTGCCCTGAATATGACGCACCAAGGTATGAATAAGTCGGACTTATGGTGTTGGATGTGGCAAACGATATTAGGCAGACAAATGCAATGTTATAATGCATAAATGCACTCTTTTCCGGAATTGTCTTGCGCTAAACTTTGCTACGTTTCCATCGAAAAAGCCAGAAAAGATCGTTACAGATATTGGTAGTAGGTATACAATCGCTAGCAATTGCATAGTTGATAGCTTACCATGTCCTAAAAAGTAAAAGTGAATGTGTAGGTTCTTTCAGATGAATGAAGTTAGGCTAAGACCTCATAAATGTATGCCCTTACTTCGCATATTATCTATAGAGATTTACACGAGTTGGATAAATTAACACTTGAAAGTATTCACATGGCTTATGTGAAATATCTATTAGGGGCAACAACGTATTTCACCTACAAGTAAGGTTGCTACTAACTGAGTATCGAGCCTTTATAGATTCAACATCTTAGGTTAAATTTGGTATTCTGTCATAAAAAGCTACAAAACGTGGTCGATACTGAGAGTGGCACACCAAAGTTCACATTTTACCTGAGATACCAAATCAGAAGTCGGAAGAATGTAATGCAAGTTGATAGTCGAAATCAAGCTCCGTTTGACTATCATCTCGTTCGGTACTCGATGACCTGGAATTTGCTCCCTAGTGGGATTAGATCAGTCAACTCAAGCCAGCAATTTAGAGTAGCCGTGAAAAGGTGCAATGAGCGACCTTAGTTATGTGTGTACGCCCAATTTCGCCCTTCAGGAGATGTATGGAGACTGCCCAACAAATGTATAGTGTGAGTGTAGGCATAATTTAGATGTTGAATAGCGCATTCTCCCTGATCCACTGATACTTTCTACTCTTAGTTGACCATACTTAAATGGACATTTTCAACAACATATAAAAGCCGGAAAGAAAATGCCAACCGATTTTCTTCTCTGATTCCCTCACTGCCGTTACTCTTTGACATTACGATGTCTATTAGGACACTTTTATTTCGCCACAGAACACCGGAAAGGGAAAGCAAACAGAGCACCTTCCATTTGCCCCCACTTTTAATGTTGATCTCTCGAACATCTTCACAAAAGTGCAGCAAGCGCTCACTGTTATCATTGCAGGAGTCTACACCGTGCTGGCCACTCAGATGAAGCCCATTAGTGGACAGACCTCCAACTTGGGCGTCCAAATCACCAGCAAACACCACAGTGCCGGTACTCTTTCTGTAACGAAGGAGAATGTTCAATTAGTGATAGAAGTCGACATCCACCGAGTCAGCGCTGCAATACGTGGGCGCACTAACAAATAAGTACCGTTTGTTCCAGCGCGACCTCGAAGCTTTGAACCAGCCAGTCAATGCGACAGCGTACACCCAACTGTTCATTGGGATCTAATCAATTAGGGCAGCTTCAGCCCAGGGGCTAGGAGCAATGCCCACACTGGCTTGACCGGCTGCGTTACTTCGGACAAGCGTGATGAGAAAACATTGTTAGTATCGCACGCTTGGGACCGCAGTGTAATCACAGAACTGGAGTCATGCAGGCGAGTTCCTGATAAGCAGCAGATATCGATCAAAGCGCGCATATGGAGGCATGCCAGTCTGGGCGAAGCTCGGGGGTTCCAAAGGGAAACGGATGAACTGACGTTGTCCGTTTGGGTGAACATGAACTTGCCGACTGAACCGGAGCGACGCCCTGCGATAGCTTGTGAGTCGAAACTAGGAGATAAATGATTACTGGACCAAGGTGGGGGAGGTCCGAGAATTCGGAGATTGAAAACCGGGCGGATAAAAGTGAGGTTGGAGTGGGACGATAAGGATGAGAAAATGAGAGAGGGAAATAACGGTCAAGCAGTAGCATCTCAACCCATATCCAAACTGCTCTATGTAACAGATTGGGCACCGTTGATTACCCTCTGCGATGACCAGAGCATCGAAAAATTGTTTGAGTGAAAGGTCACTGTATTGGATAGGCAGGAAGCTGCCAGGTGGCCTATGCCTAGACTAGACTAGAGAACGAATAGGGTTCTTAACCAAAGCCATTGGTTCAAAAACTTGACGGCAAGACAGCAGGGTATTGACACTGGACTACACAGAGTATGTTTTATGGAGTAAGGGGCCAAGCTCACTTCAACAACCAAGCTGGAGGGTCAGGAGACTGCGCTGATTAGGCGTCTAACTACTGACCAATCTGGTACGAGTAGGTCCGCAGGTGCAAAAGCACCACATAAGATAACCCGATGCATCGCTGAGGCATGCAAACCATCGCAGTGCGTTAAGGTCCAGACTCGTCGAGATGTTTCATTCACAAATTTCAAAACAGCAAGACGAGAAAACACTTTAGCAGGATACGCTGAATTCAGGTATTTCGAGTGTTGTCGTCAGCTGTTTACACACATTGGTGAAATTATCGCGTTGCATACAAAAGCGGGAAGTAATGTACAAGGTCAGTCAGTTCAAAGGAAAACGATCCATAACCTCAGCAAGGTAGGGCGAGGCTGGCCGTAATTTCAGTCGTCGAGATGTATATCATAAGAATTGACATGTGTGCCATCCATTGTTCACAGGTTCATCACTTACAACATACTTATCACCTTTCTAACTGCTCATTTCCAAGATTATTCTTTCTGCATGTAAAGTAGTGAAGTATGCTGTTCTTACAAAGGATACCGCACGTTCTTAATGTGAGCTGGATACCGAGACGTGTCAATGCTGGTTCCCGAAAGTACATAAGAGTTAGACGAACTAATGTTATATGGTTTCAATAAATTCTCATTCAGATTTCCATGCTGACTGTACATAAGAAACTTTTTGTTTCGGTCATTCTTTCTATAAAACGTACCGCGGATGCCATCTTGGAACGCAAAAAACAAAGCACGAGTGTTTGAAACTCCGAAAGGAATCGGTTTTTCCAGAAAAATGCCATAGAATCCTGAAGAAAACAAAGCATAATTTCGTACCTCGTCCTTATGATACTACTGCCCCGTACCTCGACCTCTGCAACGTATCATATTTGTTTACTCTTTTGCGTGAGCATATCCGTAATATAGAAGAGTAGTAGGGAGAGTTGAATGGTACAGTGCTTTTCCGGGTGTGTGGCGGCTGTCTGAGTGAGCCTAGATGTGACGAAATTCTACTTATATCCGTAATATTTTGGATCTGATACTGCGTTGGATCAGTTTCCGCAAAGTCAGAAAAATACTGTGAATGTATTTATTTTTACCAGCCGCACGAGGTTCGTATGCCGCTAGCTTGACATGCCCGAACTAGACAACATGACTCACCTATCCGTTTTGTATGATGCTGGAATCCATACGCCACTTTCTGTTTTGATTTTCTTCAGATTGGCTTGACCGTCAGTCGCTCGAGAATCTACATAACGTTTTCGCTTTCGATCCCATAGTTGTCTTCGAGTGGCAGACGGGTGGGAACTGCAACGTTAAGTTTAAGCAAAATGACTGTAGTGCAGGCACCGATTCCTATACACAAGATAAAAAGCGAGTGAAGTCTAAAACGGAGCATGTTTCCAATGTCCCTCGAGGAAGCGAAATTCCACATATCATAGGCGCGCACTAACGTAAGCAGGCCATTACCCAATGCAGTGGGAAAGGATTGGTTGCATTAAGCTATGAGCGTTCATGTGGGGAGGAGGAAAACTGACAGAATGGCATAGTTCCAGTGAAGTTTGGGACAAAGAAAGTCCTTCATTATGCTAATATGCAGCTGATCAACTCTCTTACCAATGTATGGTTTCAAGTATACCTTACGATTTTAATGAAACTGAGCCGTACACGGAAATGTTGCTAGCGTGGTAGGCGTAGGGGGCGACATATTCGTTAAAATTTGATTGATTGGCTTTGTATCAGACCGTTCAGAAAACATACAAACATAACACTGAGATAAAGTGTTCAACTGGTAGTTAAACTGTTCGAAGGAAACAAAATAGAGAATAGCCCTGTCAATCAGTTCCACGTATAACATGGAGAAGATAGAAAGAAAAAAGAGACTAAACAGTTACGATAGAAATGAAGACTGGTAGCTCAGGAATTTGGCTGCGAACCTTTCGTCACAAATCGAGGTGACATCACCAGTGCGTGGTTAAGTAGCGCGTAGTAGCGTAGAGAAGAACCGTCACTCTCACCAAAGCTTCTCTACGCTACTGCACGCTACATAACTACGCACTGATGATGTCACCTCGATTGGCGAAGAAACGTTTGCAACCAGATTGTCAAGCTCAGTGAACAGTTAATCAGTTACAAGTAAACGTCATACGTATATTTCAGACAAACGTTTGGTGAAGTAGTTCAGGGGACATTCACTAAAAGCGCTGTGTGAATGAAGCAAACATTACATTGGCAAGTGCATTTCGAAGTGGGATTTCCTACTGATTTTCGGTCACAAAGATGGTACACGAAACTCGGTTGAGAGAAAGCTGATGAATGGATGGCCGCTGTTAATTTAATAAAGTTTGGGTTGAGATACCAGGCAATCAGTTGTCCTAAGTCCAGCTGCGTTTCAATGGCGAAGACTACAATGAGCAAATGTAACTGCGATGCAACACAATCGGATAGTTTACAGTTTTTCAAATGGTATAGTGTGGTTCATCAGAAATTTCCAGCAGAAGCTAAAAGCGACCCCTCAGCTGCTGAATAAGGAGCATGGTCCTGCCGACCATTCACCATATTACTGAGAGATGGTGGTGACTGAGTGGTGATTGCCTTGCCTTCTTTGCCCGAGTTTACTTAGCGCAAAGAAATGTCGTTTAACTGACGGTTGTCGACCGTCATCCCCATCCACAGAAAGGACTGGAGATGTTCAGTAGACCGAAGAGGGTTATGCGAAAATCAACATAGTACAATTCCCAACTCAAATACGTCGAAATAAATTGCGTGCAGCATGCTGCGTCGGACCACTGATTGTTGTGAGAGAAGAATGAGTGAAAGTAAAGTTGACTTCCACTGATAAACCCACAATGGAAACGCTGGTTGGGGAGCTTAATACTATGCGAAAAATCCCTCACTTAGCTAACATATTCTTCAGTAGGTTATTGTCTAGACCATATGTTTCCATCCGTGCGAAGACTTTTACTGCCTCTTCAAGGTGCTCCCTTAAAATTTACAGACCCCGAAATATCCCTCCTAACCACACACACGAAAGACAAAATGAACTGTCTTTTTAGGAGGCCTGGGGAAGCAACACAATGTTATCACCCATCAAGCCTTCCGTCTTTTCATGAAATGGTTCAAAGCGATTCAAACCTAAATTTCATACCAAGTCCTTACAATCAAGTATATTTTGGTGATGCCAAATACTGTACTGAAATATGTCCAAAGCCACCCATTTGTTCGAATGATCTTTGCCTATCGTAGCTGCCTTCACACCAGCTCATAAATCTCCAAGTCCCGTATCCTCTTGCTGTCAGCTGCCGACAGTTGACAAGCCCTTACTCTATTGACACCCGGTTTGAAAGCCTGAAAGCATATACTTCATCGATGTAAGATACTATTATTACTTGCCCTAGATTAACAAAAACTTCCAGCCTAACCACCAGCTACCCCAGTCTTTGCCACTCAAATCGCAATTCTTCATCGCTAGAAATTCAGCCCAGCTATTCGAGCAGTTGGCGCACATACCTATTTAGACACAATTCATCAAATCACTTCTCGTCAATGCCCGTTCCCATCGTAATAAGGTGCACGCTCTTCGTTCCATGGTATCACTTTGAACCAGACTTCATATTAGTAACAGAGACATGGTTTATGAAAGTTACTGAAGAACCTTGCTCCCGTATTGATCGGTACAACAGTTTTCTTGCCTGTCGAAGCTCATTATCTAGCGGTGGTTTCTCTAGATATGTACCCAATAAATTCCAAGCATCACTGCTAAGCACTCTCCCTTAAAGACAACAACATTAACACCAAAGTAATAAGTGTTGCATCAGAAAGAACTTTGATAATTTTTGGCTGTATTTACTCCCCTCCGAATCCCAGTGCGGATGACGTAAAAAAACCTGGAGCAGTTATTTTACCACTTAGCATAACTACCTGTCAAGTATAAAGTACTTGGTGGGGGATTTTAATATACCCGATGTTGAATGGAGATCGTACATCGCACCTGCCAAATATTCGAGCATATTGTCTTCCTTACATATACAAGGATGGACACAACATGTCCACTCCCCCACAAGGGGTAACCACATCCTTCATTTGTTCTTTACATTAAGCCTATCCATAGTCTCGGCAGTTGTCCTAGACAAATTTTCTGACAGCGATCACATGATGGTCCAAGTATCCTTCGACAGACCATACTCCAATCATCCCACGACTTATTCTGCAGTCCTGTACACACCATATAGCTTTTTACAGATAATCGTTTTAGACCGTCGTGAAATCATTACATTACGAAGCCTTCTTCCTGACAAACGACGCACAAGTGGCTGCTGATGAAGTTTACAGGAATGTTGTAAGTTGTCTGAACGCTCTCGTCCCGTTGAGGTATAAGCGCTTTCCCGGTAAAGGAAAATCCATCACCACGACCGATAAATTTGCCAATAAACTCATGAAACATCGCAGGCATTAGTTGAAAACGAAGGACTTCTCCCAGTGTTGCAACAACAGGTCATTGCTGAACTAGAACAATTTAGACAAAAAAGGTGCATGTGTGGGGAAAGGATCGCGCTTAACAGCAATAATAAAAGCACAAACGTAGCAAGTTGTTGAAAAGTAGAAACAAAACCACAGAAACCCTTTCCATTTTGATTTGTGTTGACCGGATATTAGGTGATCCAACTCACACAAATAAAGCTTTAAACAACTACTTTAGCTCCATCTTTAAAACCAATACTGAGCTTCCTGTACAAATTCTCCCATTGCTTACTGACGACAGGCACTGCACAGTAAAACATGAACTCCACGACATTAATTGGCCTATTTCATCTACTAAACTATCTTGTTATACTGGACCTGACTACTTACCGCCAAACCTGGTAAAAAACGGGGTCCCCATATCCAGATACTACTTATGAATCTTCTTTCTCTATGTATGAAGGCAGGTAGTGTGACAATACAGTGGAAGAAAGCTGGTTACCCCTCGTTACAAATCAGGCCCCGTGCACGAAACGACGAACTACCGTCCAATAAATCACACTTCCATCCTTTTTAAAATGATGGAACGTCACATAAAGTCTTAATCTGTTGACTTCCCGATGACGCGAAATGTTATCAACACCTCGCAACACGGCTTCCTAAGCTCACGGCCTTGCATACCATGCCAGATCGGCTTCTTCAATTTTCTGATTAGTTTGCTAAACTGCGGCTCATCAGTCATAGTCGTCCACCTTGATACGGAGAAGGTGGTTGATCGTGTCCCTCACGCTTCTCTCTTATCCAAATTAACTGCACATGGCATCGGCAACCCTTTGCTGTCATGGTTCGACTCGTATCTCCCGAACAGAACCCAAATAGTAAAGATTCATATTGTAACAAGTCCGCCCAAACCAGTCACTAGTGGCGTGATACAAGGCAGTGTCCTAAGCCCTTTATTATTCCTACTATAATTAAATGAAGTTTTTGACGTCTTTATCTTTAGGAAACCTTTTCTATTTGCCGATGATATAAAGAGTATTTACACGCTTAACTCCACTGACGTCATTAGTATTGTCAGTGTCATCCAAGGTGATTTACACATGCTTGCTTCATGGTGTTCTAAGTGGAAAATGTCATTCTCCGTTGACAAATGCCATGTGGTAACCTACAGATGTGAAATCACACCGGGTTCTCTTACAATATACGGAGGAGTTCTTGCGTTTCGGATGCGACTGTGTTTAATACGGAACCAGCTGTGCACAATCGGTCTAGTGCAACATTTGCGGAACCTCTAAGCAGTTCAGAGAATAATAGAACTTGTTCACAGCTATTGTTTAATTCATGAATTTTGCTTTTCAGCGCGGCTACTTCTTCCTCGAAGGTTATAATCCGATTTTTCCTTTCAGGCTTGAGGGCAGTAGTAAAGTTGGTGTGGGTAACTGCTACATCCCATTTTTCTAGAGTTTGGATGATGGACGTCTCCTATTTACAGTAATAACGGGTGGATTTAAAGCAGTAGTTTCAGTGTCTTTCCTGGTTACAACGTCAGCCTAAGGAGTGAGCTTCTCGCTTTCACATTGCTAACAAGCATTTCTAGTGGGTACTCAGGAGAATGTTATGGTGCTGAGCGCAGGGCTAATAAATGTTAAGATTGAGGGGGAATACAACCACAGGAGTCGAGAAAATATGACGCGATTTACACTACTGTAAGTGTTGCAAATCAACCGGTTTAAATTCCAGGTTGTTTTCGTTGATGGGCCAGTTCTTTTGGGTCTCTGTCACCTGCGCGGCTTGTTCGTTAGTCTCATTTGTTCGTCTATGTGCACGGGTCTATGAAGTGCGCTCCT